ACAAGAACGTTTTCCTCCGTCCGTAGAATATCTGAGTTCAGTCATGAATTGATAAAGCCCATCCAGGTTGTGAGGGCAAGGGACATGTCACTGTAGGACTGACGCTGTAGGACTGACGCTGTAGGACTGACACTGTAGGACTGACACTGTAGGACTAACACTGTAGGACTGACGCTGTAGGACTGACACTGTAGGACTGACACTGTAGGACTGACACTGTAGGACTGACACTGTAGGACTGACACTGTAGGACTGACACTGTTGGACTGACACTGTAGGACTGACACTGAAGGACTGACACTGTAGGACTGACACTGTTGGACTGACACTGAAGGACTGACACTGTAGGACTGACACTGTAGGACTGACACTGTAGGACTGACACTGTAGGACTGACACTGTAGGACTGACACTGTAGGACTGACACTGTAGGACTGACACTGTAGGACTGACACTGTAGGACTGACACTGTAGGACTGACACTGTTGGACTGACACTGTAGGACTGACACTGAAGGACTGACACTGTAGACACTGACTGACACTGTAGGACTGACACTGTAGGACTGACTGTAGGACTGACACTGTAGGACTGACACTGTAGGACTGACACTGTAGGACTGACACTGTAGGACTGACACTGTAGGACTGACACTGTAGGACTGACACTGTAGGACTGACACTGTAGGACTGACACTGTAGGACTGACACTGAAGGACTGACGCTGTAGGACTGACACTGTAGGACTGACACTGTAGGACTGACACTGTAGGACTGACGCTGTAGCACTGACACTGTTGGACTGACACTGTAGGACTGACGCTATTGGACTGACGCTGTAGGACTGACGCTGTAGGACTGACACTGTAGGACTGACACTGTAGGACTGACGCTGTAGGACTGACACTGTAGGACTGACACTGTAGGACTGACACTGTAGGACTGACACTGTAGGACTGACACTGTAGGACTGACGCTGTAGGACTGACACTGTAGGACTGACACTGTAGGACTGACGCTGTAGGACTGACACTGTAGGACTGACGCTGTAGGACTGACACTGTAGGACTGACACTGTAGGACTGACACTGTTGACACTGTACGCTGTAGGACTGACACTGTACACTGGACTGACACTGTAGGACTGACTGACGCTGTTGGACTGACGCTGTAGGACTGACGCTGTAGGACTGACACTGTAGGACTGACACTGTAGGACTGGACTGACCTGTAGGACTGACACTGTAGGACTGACACTGTTGGACTGACGCTGTAGGACTGACGCTGTAGGACTGACACTGTTGGACTGACGCTGTAGGACTGACACTGTAGGACTGACGCTGTAGGACTGACACTGTAGGACTGACGCTGTAGGACTGACACTGTAGGACTGACGCTGTAGGACTGACACTGTAGGACTGACGCTGTAGGACTGACACTGTAGGACTGACGCTGTAGGACTGACACTGTAGGACTGACGCTGTAGGACTGAGGACTGTAGACTGACACTGTAGGACTGACACTGTAGGACTGACGCTGTAGGACTGACGCTGTAGGACTGACACTGTAGGACTGACACTGTAGGACTGACACTGTAGGACTGACGCTGTAGGACTGACACTGAAGGACTGACACTGAAGGACTGACTCTGTAGGACTGACACTGTAGGAGTGACGCTGTAGGACTGACGCTGTAGGACTGACACTGTAGGACTGACACTGAAGGACTGACACTGAAGGACTGAAACTGAAGGACTGACGCTGTAGGACTGACGCTGTAGGAGTGACGCTGTAGGACTGACACTGTAGGACTGACACTGTTGGACTGAAACTGAAGGACTGACGCTGTAGGACTGACGCTGTAGGAGTGACACTGTAGGACTGACGCTGTAGGAGTGACACTGTAGGACTGACTCTGAAGGACTGACACTGAAGGATTGACGCTGAAGGACTGACACTGTAGGACTGACACTTTAGGACTGACACTGTAGGACTGACGCTGTAGGACTGACACTGAAGGACTGACACTGAAGGATTGACGCTGAAGGACTGACACAGCGGGACTGAGATTGTTGAACTAATAGTGTAGAACTGAAAGTATATGTAAGAAACATGTTAATAAAGCAATGGAGTAAGTTTGGACCACACACATATTTTGAGCCAATGATATTAACTAAAACTTCTATTCAGCTTCTATTGTTTTAGTGCTGCTGTTTGACGCAGACAAAGACAAAGATGTGTGTCACAGTCTAATTGTTAACGGTTATTTAGTAAGATGCTCGCGTGAAACACTACCTTGACTTGTACCCGCCCGTATCATGGCGGCGATGTGATATGTTGGAGAGCAGTGGAATCAATAAATGAACCAACTACTCGACTAAAGTATGTAGAAAAGGCACTAAAATCTCCACTCTGTCGTCTTTTATCAAGCTGATGTCAAGCACACATTTACTTAAGCTGGAGAGAAGTTTTATTGCTGGGTCTAACTCATTTTCTGTCAACATATTGTCACTTCTTGGCGCTCACGGTGGCTGAGTGGCGCCGAGCTAAAGCTCGTAATCCTTGCCTTAGGACAGTGAGTGAGTTATCTTCCCCTTCTCTTCATACTTGACATGGCAGTTATAAATATGTCAGATCATTCTTTCTGCTCGATTACAGTGAAGATTATCCCAGAGTCAACGATTCATCAAAGAGGGCGGCGAACAGAACACGACTGTGTATAACAGTATAACTGGCAATCCTTATTCCACACAAGTGTGTCGGGTATTCTCTCTGCATGGCCCACTGCTTCAACACTGGAAAGTGTTTATGATTTGGTTAGAATATACTCTCCAATGTGCTTTGAAAATGAACTCTTAGTTTCCCAACATTTGATTACCTAATGTGGACCAATATAATCTAACAGTGTACGTTGTGTTTCCCTGGGTGAGCCAGTAAGTCGGGTTTTCTCGCCGCTTTCTTAACAGTATCGAAACAAATCTCCACTGGACACAGTCGACCTCACGTCTGGCTGTACCCATGTGGGCTTGAACCCAAGTCTACGGCGCGGCGAACCAACACTCTGACCACTCGACTACTCTAATCAGGAATAGATTTGCTCGTGAATGTTTTACATTGTGTAACATTATGACAGAAGACCTGCGTAAATGTATGTGTGATAAAATGAAAGTGTATAGTTGATTCAATATTTGTCTTGAAGCTGTGGTGACGAAGACCTGACAACTGTCAATAAACTCACCATAACACCGACACCCAAATGCCTCTCCCTCTATGTTTGTAAACATCCGGCATTCTTACTGCATACAATGCATATGTAAGGTAATATTTACCAAACATCGTCAAACAAGTCACAATAGCCCTGCACCATGTCTGGTGTACGTGTATCCATCTGCACAACACAATGTCGACAAGTGATGGCATCAAATACTAATCGAGAGTCCAGATGTTAATTACTCATTTTCCACGTTACCCTTGAAGGTCAGTTGGTTTAATTTCACCAGGCACGTGGTCGTAACTCTCAGTTCCCGGCATGCACCTGCGTGGACGTAGCACTTGATGACGCCTGGCACTCACCCCGGAAGCCATATTGCTGCGAAAGATCATTCTCACACAGGGAACAAATTCCTGCAACACCGGTGTGAGGAAGCGGTGTAATGGGTACAGCGCAAGAAGATTTGATGACACAATATCTGGACGTTCTGACACCACATACTGTGATTTAGTTCGCAAACCTTCCACCCTGGATGTTTGGACAACAGACTGTTGTAAAAGGGTTTCTAAACCATTCCTTAAAATTACATAATATAACCGTTTTCAGTTTCCTTATTGACAAAGATAAGTTCAGACTAACATCTATTGTAGATTTCCCCAGTCGTAGAATGTGACCATACTCCATGTTATGTTCCTCATGTCGCAGTATGTGACCATACTCCGTGTTGTGTTCCTCATGTCGCAGTATGTGACCATACTCCGTGTTGTGTTCCTCAGGTCGCAGTATGTGACCATACTCCATGTAGTGTTCCTCATGTCGCAGTATGTGACCATACTCCGTGTAGTGTTCCCCAGGTCGCGGTATGTGACCATACTCCATGTTGTGTTCCTCATGTCGCAGTATGTGACCATACTCCATGTAGTGTTCCCCAGGTCGCAGTATGTGACCATACTCCATGTAGTGTTCCTCATGTCGCGGTATGTGACCATACTCCATGTAGTGTTCCCCAGGTCGCAGTATGTGACCATACTCCGTGTTGTGTTCCTCATGTCGCAGTATGTGACCATACTCCATGTAGTGTTCCCCAGGTCGCGGTATGTGACCATACTCCGTGTTGTGTTCCTCATGTCGCAGTATGTGACCATACTCCATGTAGTGTTCCCCAGGTCGCGGTATGTGACCATACTCCGTGTTGTGTTCCTCATGTCGCAGTATGTGACCATACTCCATGTAGTGTTCCTCATGTCGCAGTATGTGACCATACTCCATGTAGTGTTCCCCAGGTCGCGGTATGTGACCATACTCCATGTTGTGTTCCTCATGTCGCAGTATTTGACCATACTCCATGTAGTGTTCCCCAGGTCGCGGTATGTGACCATAATCCATGTTGTGTTCCTCATGTCGCAGTATGTGACCATACTCCATGTTATGTTCCCCAGGTCGCGGTATGTGACCATACTCCATGTAGTGTTCCCCAGGTCACGGTATGTGACCATACTCTGTGTTGTGTTCCTCATGTCGCAGTATGTGACCATACTCCATGTTATGTTCCTCATGTCGCAGTATGTGACCATACTCCATGTAGTGTTCCTCAGGTCGCGGTATGTGACCATACTCCATGTAGTGTTCCTCATGTCGCAGTATGTGACCATACTCCATGTTATGTTCCCCAGGTCGCGGTATGTGACCATACTCCATGTTATGTTCCTCATGTCGCAGTATGTGACCATACTCCATGTAGTGTTCCTCATGTTGCAGTATGTGACCATACTCCATGTAGTGTTCCCCAGGTCACGGTATGTGACCATACTCCATGTAGTGTTCCCCAGGTCGCAGTATGTGACCATACTCCATGTAGTGTTCCTCATGTCGCAGTATGTGACCATACTCCATGTTGTGTTCCCCAGGTCGCAGTATGTGACCATACTCCATGTAGTGTTCCCCAGGTCGCAGTATGTGACCATACTCCATGTAGTGTTCCTCATGTCGCGGTATGTGACCATACTCCATGTAGTGTTCCCCAGGTCGCGGTATGTGACCATACTCCATGTAGTGTTCCTCATGTCGCAGTATGTGACCATACTCCATGTAGTGTTCCCCAGGTCGCAGTATGTGACCATACTCCATGTAGTGTTCCTCATGTCGCAGTATGTGACCATACTCCATGTAGTGTTCCCCAGGTCGCGGTATGTGACCATACTCCGTGTTGTGTTCCTCATGTCGCAGTATGTGACCATACTCCATGTAGTGTTCCCCAGGTCGCAGTATGTGACCATACTCCATGTAGTGTTCCCCAGGTCGCGGTATGTGACCATACTCCATGTTGTGTTCCTCATGTCGCAGTATGTGACCATACTCCATGTTATGTTCCTCATGTCGCAGTATGTGACCATACTCCATGTAGTGTTTCCCAGGTCGCGGTATGTGACCATACTCCATGTTGTGTTCCTCATGTCGCAGTATGTGACCATACTCCATGTTATGTTCCTCATGTCGCAGGATGTGACCATACTCCATGTAGTGTTCCTCATGTCGCAGTATGTGACCATACTCCATGTTGTGTTCCCCAGGTCGCAGTATGTGACCATACTCCATGTAGTGTTCCCCAGGTCGCAGTATGTGACCATAATCCATCTTATGTTACCCAGGTCGCAGTATGTGACCATAGTCCATCTTATGTTACCCAGGTCGCAGTATGTGACCATACTCCATGTAGTGTTCCCCAGGTCGCAGTATGTAACCATTCTCCATCTAGTGTTCCTCAGGTCGCAGTATGTGACCATACTCCATGTTATGTTCCCCAGGTCGCAGTATGTGACCATAGTCCATCTTATGTTACCCAGGTCGCAGTATGTGACCATACTCCATGTAGTGTTTCCCAGGTCGCAGTATGTGACCATGCTCCATGTAGTGTTCCTCAGGCGGCGGTATGTGACCATACTCCATGTTATGTTCCTCATGTCGCAGTATGTGACCATACTCCGTGTTGTGTTCCTCATGTCGCAGTATGTGACCATACTCCATGTAGTGTTCCTCAGGTTGTGGTATGTTACCACAATCTCTAAGTGAAAATATTAGATCAGCAACTTCCTGAGTAATCTATGCTATGCCTGTGTCGGGTACCTATGTTTAATTATCCCAGTATATGTCACGGTTCGTCACCAGAGGGCACCAAATTAACCCCCTACTCCCTGTGTTTTAGACGCAGGACAAGACGGAATTTGTGTCCAGTTATGCACTGGTCCCCGGTAAGATGGAGGAAGATGGGGGACGGGGTGTGAGGGTGTCGTTATCACTCATCTTCCTCGTGGCACAACACTTCCCTGTGTTCTGATGTTCTGTCCTGTGTTCATCAATTAAAACAGTCTCCGGTTTCAGTTTCAGGTTTTCATCGGTGGACACCTGGCGTTCCTTCAGTTGCACAGCAGTAAAATATACAATGATTTGAAACACAAGATGCGTTTCTATTCAGGAAGGTCTTCACTGCACACCAACAAACATGTCAGAATGTTGTGAGCCTACTGTTAAGATAAGATAAGATAATTTTATATTACCCCGTGAGGGAATTTGTCTTACATCTGAGTGAGCATAAATACATGATCATTATTACATACAAATGTACAAAATCATGAGAATGGATAACATTTAACGGTTGTTCAACAAAGAAATTTATAATGGTTCAAAAGACATTCTAAACTTGAATGCTTGGATTTGCACGTTGGTTCAAACATTCATGTAAAACACGAGAGGCATCAATAATAATTGTTGTAGGTAGATTTAGAGCCATTCCACTCAATAATCTTGTTTAGATTGTAATTATTACTGAGTGAAAGAGAGCTGAACCCACACTGAATAGAGAACAGGAGCATGGATTGTACACAAGGTTTATAGAAAAGTTGAAATAAAAATGTTGAGTCAATGTGAAAGGATCGGAGTTTACTGAGGAAATGAAGGCGAGACTGACATTCACTGTAAAAGCGATCGGTATTTTGAGAGAATTTTAATTTATTGTCAGATATAGTTCCAAGATACTTATAACTACTAACTACATGTACTTCGACGGCATCCCCATTAATAATGAAAGGGTTATTTGCTCTTCTCTTCCAAAATCAATGATAAGTTTCTTTGTTTTTGACACATTAAGTTCCCAAAAGTTTTCATTACACCACTTAACAAAAGTATACTCTCCCCAAAAACGAAACACATATAGGAATTTCAACTGTAGTTTTATGTTTATTTTGAAACATCTTGCAGGCGTTATGAGTTAATGAAATATAGCGAAATTGCACACTTGGAATGCAGACTTATCCGTCTTTGGCACCAACTCGAGGAAAGTCAGTTTGAGTGTCACATGGAGACGTGTGGTGGCGCTGAAGTCAATACCTCGTGTGAACACCGTGGGCATCCAGAACTGCACGGCATCGCCTCGGCATCGAACGAATAAGTCTCAGAATCTCGTGTTGCCCAATCGCAGCCCACTCTGCCTGTAGTGCCTGTGCGAGTTGCTGAAGTGTCTGGGACTGAGGGTAACGGCGTCGCACCCGTCTGTCCAGGGCATCCCACAGATGTTCGATCGGGTTTAAGTCCGGTGATCTTGAGGGCCAGGGGAGCACATTGATGTTGTGGTTCTGGAGGAAGTCTCTAGTGTGACGTGCTGTGTGGGGCCTGGCATTGTCCTGTTGAAACAACTCCCTCTGGCGATCAATGATTGGAAGGAGGTGTGGGCGTAGGATTTCGTCACAGTACCGTTGAGCTGCCAGGTTGCCCTGGATCATCACCAAATCACTTCTCCTACGGCAGGTGATCTCTCCCCACATCATAACACTTCCCCGGCCGAATCTGTCCACCTGGGGAACGCAAGCGTCGGCGAAACGTTCACGTCGACGTCTGTACACCCGCATTCTTCCATCGCGTCGTTCCAATAGAAATCGTGATTCATCACTGAACCAGATTCTACGCCAATTTGGTAGGTTCAAGGCCTGAACGTTGGTGCACCATTGAACTCGATGTCGACGATGTTGTTGTCGAAGCACAGGGCCAAAATAAGGTCTTCTGGCACGTAAACCAGCCTCTCTTAACCTGTTCCTGACGGTCTGTGCAGAAAGCCTCCTCAATCCGGGTATTTGTCGAGCGGTACTGGTTGCCGTAGCTGTTCGATGACGCAGGTGATGTACCCGGATGTAGCGATCCTGCGCCGCAGTGGTCGCTCGAGGTCGCCCACTACGAGGGGCATCTGCTACCGAATTCTGCAGGCGATATCTCTCCAAAAGCCGTGAAATGGTGCTTTGGTGAACATTCATGCGTCGGGCAACTGCACGTTGAGACTGGCCAGCTTCAAGCAAACAAATGGCGATATGACGGTTGGTTTCACTTAGACGTGGCATTTTGCGTTCGTCAACAATATTCCAAATACAGTGAATAATCGACAGACAGCGATCAACCTTTTATACCCATCATTGAGACTATCTGATCCCTAACTTTCACGTGCATTGCATGTGAATTGTGTATTCTGTGACACTACACGCCGAAATTGAAAATCATGCTGTTAAATACGGGTATTTTACGGATGGTGCGTTTTGTTGTGATGTTTCAAAACATAAACACCATAGGACTCATAAACAGATCAAAACCTTATGTAAAATGAATCACGTTTTAATTCATTGCTACATGAAATTGCTATTTTCATGATGCGTTTATTTTTTGGGAGAGTATAATTATTTTTCCTGTGTATGTGTACTCATTGTAAAAGTGTAGACTGCTGATGGCTGTATCATAGGTGAACTTGAACTTAGAACAGTTAGGTTGAAAACTTACACATTCATCAGTGAAGAAAGTGACAAGTATTGGGGACAATACACATCCTTGTCAGTGATATCATGTAACAACGCAGAAGTTTATCACACGAATCGTAAGGTGTTTCAGATATTTATCACACGAACTGCAGATTCTTACAGGGTGTTTATATGTGTTTACGTTATCGTCATGCGTAACACTCCGCTACGTAGAACACGGAAACCTATCTCTGAAACCCAGTACCCTATCTCTGTCACCCAGTACCTTATCTCTGTCATCCAGTACCCTATCTCTGTCACCCAGTACCCTATCTCTGTCACCCAGTATCCTATCTCTGTCACCCGGTACCCTATATCTGTCACCCGGTACCCTAAGTCTGTCATCCAGTACCCTATCTCTGTCACCGGGTACCCTATGTTTGTCACCCAGTACCTTATCTCTGTCACCCAGTACCCTATGTCTGTCACCCAGTACCCTATCTCTGTCACCCAGTACCCTATGTCTACCTCCCAGTACCGTACCTCTGTCACCCGGTACACTATGTCTGTCACCCAGTACCCTATGTCTGTCACCCAGTACCCTATGTCTGTCACCCAGTACCCTATGTCTGTCACCCAGTACCCTATCTCTGTCACCCAGTACACTATGTCTGTCACTCTGTACCCTATGTCTGTCACCCAGTACCCTATGTCTGTCACCCGGTACCCTATGTCTGTCACCCGGTACCCTATCTCTGTCACCCGGTACCCTAAGTCTGTCATCCAGTACCCTATCTCTGTCACTCAGTACCCTATGTTTGTCACCCAGTACCTTATCTCTGTCACCCAGTACCCTATGTCTGTCACCCAGTACCCTATCTCTGTCACCCAGTACCCTATGTCTACCTCCCAGTACCATACCTCTGTCACCTAGTACCCTATCTCTGTCACCCAATACCCTATCTCTGTCACCCAGTACCCTATGTCTACCTCCCAGTACCATACCTCTGTCACCTAGTGCCCTAACTCTGTCACCCAGTACCTTTTCTCTGTCACCCAGTACCCTTTCTCTGTCACCCAGTACCCTATCTCTGTCACCCAGTACCAACTTTGTCCACTGAGCCACACCTCCCAGGGGTCGTCAGAATTCGTGGAATTAATGTGTCCAGCAGCTTGTTAGCCTTGTAGTGAGCAAGGGGACTGAGTGTGTGACGACTGCGTGACGATACCGTGGTGCAGCAGGTGCGCGTGACGATACCGTGGTGCAGCAGGTGCGCGTGACGCATGTATACCACGCTGATGACACCAGTCAGTGTCACGGCCAGCCGACAATAACGTGACAGGAAATTTCACACTCATAATTGTGAATTAACCAACTTCGCCGTAAATATGCAGTCGCACTCCGCGATAAAACAAACAAAAACTACCTCTGTCTCATATCCAAGTTCCAAGTTCTCAATATCTGTTTCCGCTCAACAATTTCAACAAACGAAAAATAACTATTATTCACGTTATAGCACTGCTTCTGCAATCTTGTCGTGTATCTTCTATAACGGGGACATATGATTTTACAGACAGTAGAACGTTGTGTCATGGGGCAATCGGAAGTACAGAGAGTAGAACGCTGTGTCATGGGGCAATCGGAAGTACAGAGAGTAGAACGCTGTGTCATGGGGCAATCGGTCGTACAGAGAGTAGAACGCTGTGTGATGGGGCAATCGGTCGTACAGAGAGTAGAATGCTGTGTGATGGGGCAATCGGTCGTACAGAGAGTAGAATGCTGTGTCATGGGGCAATCGGTCGTACAGAGAGTAGAACGCTGTGTGATGGGGCAATCGGTCGTACAGAGAGTAGAACGCTGTGTGATGGGGCAATCGGTCGTACAGAGAGTAGAACGCTGTGTGATGGGGCAATCGGTCGTACAGAGAGTAGAACGCTGTGTGATGGGGCAATCGGTCGTACAGAGAGTAGAACGCTGTGTGATGGGGCAATCGGTCGTACAGAGAGTAGAATGCTGTGTCATGGGGCAATCGGTCGTACAGAGAGTAGAACGCTGTGTGATGGGGCAATCGGTCGTATAGAGAGTAGAATGCTGTGTCATGGGGCAATCGGTCGTACAGACAGTAGAAAGCTGTGTCATGGGGCAATCGGTCGTACAGAGAGTAGAACGCTGTGTGATTGGACAACCGGTCGAACATACAGTATAACACTGTGTGATTAGAAAATCGGTTGTACAGAGAGTAGAACGCTGTGTGATTAGACAACCGGTCGAACATACAGACACTGTGTGATTAGAAAATCGGTTGTATAACGCTGTGTGATTAGAAAATCGGTTGTACAGAGAGTAGTAGAACGCTGTGTGATTAGACACAGACCGGCTGTGTGATTAGGCAACCGGTCGTACAGACAATATGACGCTGTGTGATTGGACAACCGGTCGAACATACAGTATAACACTGTGTGATTAGACAACCGGTCGTACAGACAGTATAACGCTGTGTGATTGGACAACCGGTCGAACATACAGTATAACACTGTGTGATTAGAAAATCGGTTGTACAGACAGTATAAGGCTGTGTGATTGGACAACCGGTCGAACATACAGTAGAACGCTGTGTGATTAGACAACCGGTCGTACAGACAGTATGACGCTGTGTGATTAGACAACCGGTTGAACATACAGTATAAGGCTGTGTGATTAGACAACCGGTCGTACATACAGTATAACACTGTGTGATTAGACAACCGGTCGTACATACAGTATAACACTGTGTGATTAGACAACCGGTCGTACAGACAGTATGACGCTGTGTGATTAGACAACCGGTTGTACAGACAGTATAAGGCTGTGTGATTATACAACCGGTCGAACATACAGTATAAGGCTGTGTGATTAGACAACCGCTTGTACAGACAGTATGACGCTGTGTGATTAGACAACCGGTTGTACAGACAGTATAAGGCTGTGTGATTATACAACCGGTTGAACATACAGTATAAGGCTGTGTGATTAGACAACCGGTCGTACATACAGTATAACACTGTGTGATTAGACAACCGGTCGTACAGACAGTATGACGCTGTGTGATTAGACACCCGGTTGTACAGACAGTATAAGGCTGTATGATTATACAACCGGTCGAACATACAGTATAACACTGTGTGATTAGACAACCCATTTTACAGACAGTATAAGGCTGTATGATTATACAACCGGTCGAACATACAGTATAACACTGTGTGATTAGACAACCCATTGTACAGACAGTATAACGCTGTGTGATTATACAACCGGTTGAACATACAGTAGAACGCTGTGTGATTAGACAACCGGTCGTACAGACAGTATGACGCTGTGTGATTAGACAACCGGTTGTACAGACAGTATAAGGCTGTATGATTATACAACCGGTCGAACATACAGTATAAGGCTGTATGATTATACAACCCATTGTACAGACAGTATAACGCTGTGTGATTATACAACCCGTTGAACATACAGTAGAACGCTGTGTGATTATACAACCGGTTGAACATACAGTAGAACGCTGTGTGATTAGACAACCGGTTGTACAGACAGTAGAATCTTGTGTGATTAGACAACCGCTTGTACAGACAGTAGAACCTTGTGTGATTAGACAACTGCTTGTACAGACAGTAGAACCTTGTGTGATTAGACAACCGCTTGTACAGACAGTATAACACTGTGTGATTAGACAACCGCTTGTACAGACAGTAGGACGGACGCTCGCTGTATGGTGGGACAACCCGTGTACGTTTATAGCTTGGATAGTAGATCGCAGACCAACGGATGCCTGGACGGTTAATGTCGTATGACCGGCGTTGTAGACAGTGATCTAAACATTGTAATCTGAATTTGACTTCGAACAATTGCTTCCTTTTCCGTTGTACTGAGGATATGACGCCAAGATATATACTTGTGCATACAAGTGTGCGGAAAGCGCGTGGTTGGCGAACAAGGAAGACGAGCGCCATTGTCCTGAGTTTGGAATTTAACCTCCTTGTCCACCACGTGTATCAGGATGTAATTCTACCAAGTTTGTTGAATGTGTTTTTGTCTGATAAGTACGATTGTGTTCCCATACAACGTCATGTTTTAATATTGACTGTATGTTGACTGTCCAAACCGTCTCTAACCTCACAGGACTTTGCTCTGAACCCGTAATACAGCTGAACCGGAGCATGGGATTCGAACCCATGACAGAAGATCCGTGCAAGCACTGTGTCGCCGTACACCGTTGCTGCCCTGTTCATGCAGGGTTGCCTGGATCCTTTTATAAGTTCGAGCGGGGTCCGTGTTGGTATATATCTCGTGCTGGCTTGTAAGTGTCCTGGTCCCCGAGCCTGGTGGGCCAGGTGAAGTACTGCCTACTGTCACTAGGTACTGCCTACTGTCTCTAAGTACCGCCTACTGTCACTAAGTACTGCCTACTGTCACTAGGTACTGCTTACTGTCACTAGGTACTGCCTACTGTCACTAAGTACTGCCTACTGTCACTAGGTAGAGTGCAGATATTTGTGCTGGTCAAAACTCCTGTACGTACTGAGACTTTTCGCCGCTCTACGGCTCTTCAGGTGTAACGAAAACCAAGCGTTGTCACAGGCGACGGACGCATACCGGAAGTATCTGTGTCGTCATCATGCGCATGACGTTACAGTTAGTGACACCTGCTGCAGGAGACGTAAGACACGCATCAGTACCTGCCTACATATCGTCACCCTCGGCACACTAAAGTAAATATTCCATATGGCACTAAGATTGTGTACTATTGTTTTGAATCTGGACTCACGAATGAGAAGTAATGACCTATCTGCAACTACAAGGATGTCACTGAGGTGTAGTTGAAGATGTCACACACAGCTGTAAAGTCCCACACAAACAAATGAAACAAATACTGAGACAGAAATTGTTCTATTTGTTTGTTCAAAGTTAAATTGAGACTTATCAGATTTTTAAAATATAGTATTTTTGTTATTTTAACTGTCGGCTACATTTTCCTGCAATCGCCAGCGGCTGAAGGGATGATTTAAATCCAACTAGGGTCCATGCAGGTAGCAAAAGCACTGTAAGTCCCCATGGTCCCCAGTATGGTGATCTACCTTCAGTTGTTGGCGATCTATAGCCCGTTTTTATAGTGTACTGTCTTCGTAAATAAAATAGTTTTACATGTTCATGCTAGTTTTAGACTCCATCTGTGATACTCTAGTTATTTTACAGTCCTTCGATGACTGATTATTTAGCAACTTAACTATATTGTTTATGTAAAACATTTCTCGTCACTATATGGCTGAAATATTGCCGAGGTTTAACTCACTCACTCACTCACTCACTCATAATTGTAAACGTATTTCCTCTATAAAAGCTTATAGCTTATAGCTATGCGAAAGTGTTTATCTAAGAGTAAACCTATACGCATCACTAGGCAGCCTAAGTCTCGAACAGCCATCTGTCTGTCTAGGTATTCACAACACACATACAGTCAGTGTCACAAAATGTAACAAACCTCGATGTGGAACTTGATCAATTATAATTTAAGACTACAGATTGAAATTTTATGACAAAATATTTACTGGCAAAAACAACATCAACTCCAGCAGTGAAGACGTCACATATGATGGATCCTGTAAGGGGTGAGTTGAGCATTACATCTGATGGATCCTGTAAGGAGTGAGTTGAGCATTACATATGATGGATCCTGTAAGGGGTGAGTTGAGCATTACATATGATGGATCCTGTAAGGGGTGAGTTGAGCATTACATATGATGGATCCTGTAAGGGGTGAGTTGAGCATTACATATGATGGATCCTGTAAGGGGTGAGTTGAGCATTACATATGATGGATCCTGTAAGGGTGAGTGAGTTGATATGCATTACATACATGATGGATCCTGTAAGGGAGTTAAGCATGATGG